CTTCACTTATCAGTTATGTGATTTGGGGCAACTGGCTTCCCCTCTCTAAGCCCCTCCTTCTTCCTCATCTGTTACATGGAAAGGATAACAGTATTTTGTGGCAGATGGTTAACGAATACCAATTACTTTGTGCACTGCCTGGCACACAGATGCAATCAACAAGCATTCACCATTAATATGTTCATGGTAAATAGTTTGAAACTTTAGATGAAGCTCTTTTGATCTGTCAGACCTAGAGACAATGGTCATTTCTTGGTTTTCTGCCTTCATTTATTTTCTCTCTTCATGGGCTTATTTGAAATACATTCAATTCACTATGCAGCATCAGTGCCTGTAATATAGGGCCTAACCAGTACAAGTGCCAGGGGTGGAAGAGTTTCAGAGGGTAGGAGATAAAACCCACCAGGAATTAGTCTTGAAGCTGATCTTGATTACAGATTTGATTGATGGGTACTTGGTTAAGGACTGACAGACAACTGCGTGCTCTTGAGAAAAAAACCTTTTGTGGCCAAAGTGATTCCTAATAACAGTAATAATAATCATAATATTGAGACTTAATTAGTATGCATAATGTGCCAGATACTAAGTGCTAAACATCTGTTAGCTTATTTAATCTTCACAACAATTCTGAGCTTGGCACAATTACTTCCCCATTTTGAGCCTTTAAATGTTAAATCATTTGTTCAGGTCACTGTTAAGCGCTGTGGTTGATTCCAGGGCCTGCTGCCTTAATATGTAGGATTGGTCCTGGGGAGAGGCTGGATCGATTTTCATAAGAAGTATTCTAGATGGAAATAAGAGCAATCCGTGTTCCTTAAAATCTGAAGTTAGAGAAATCAAATGCTTTGACACAGAAGTCCTACTGGCATGAAAGACCATGAAGGGCTAGGGGAGGGAGGACATTTCACCTTAATGCTGGGGCCCAAGAGCATGTGGAGGATGCTTGGGCTTTGCTTATAGTTCAAGTTCAGGCTGAGTGTGTGCACTGTAATTCTGGAGCTCCACATAGTGACAGCAGGGACAGGGGCCAGCAAGGGCATTGCTGAATCCTGGGAAATCTGGCAGGGAGAAGTAGAAACAGTAGAGGACAATCTGACTTTGCAGTTCTCTCTCTGCTTGGCCACTGGAAACAGGCTTCTTCTACCTGTTGGGCTGAATCTCAAGGTTCTTGAACAGTTTAGGTAGAGGGAGGCCTCATGAAGTTAATATTATATTTTCTGCAATTGAGGGCACGTAGAGTTTTGGGGGATTCAAAGGATAATTAGGATGTAACCACACTGGTATCTCAAGCTGGAGGACAAGGTCATATTGCTACTTTTGTACATCAATGTCAATACTAGAAGAGAACATGGTAAGAGGTCAAAGGTTACACTGTAAACCTGGAAGGAACCCTATAGACCATGCAGCCTTGTCCAGGGGCTTGCAAACAAAAGTCCAACTATAGCTTCCTAGGCCCCAATCCCCAGATCTCCTGTATACAAATCTCTGATGTTCTTGTTTTGTGATTGTGATATGCAGCTTGTCATGGATCTATTTTATAGATGATAAAACTTTTTCTATGGTCCCACTAGTTAGGATGCAGCTGAGATCAAAATCCCTTCCCCCTGCTGAGTAAGTAGGTCATGATCTCTCTAGGACCAGACAGGGGTAGAGGATGCAAACTTAGAGTGAATAGTATTATTACCAATAAGCTCTTACCCTGTAGAAACCACAGAAAGGTCCCCCAGTGCAGGCCCTCCTGTATTTAGTATGCTTCTCACTTTAGAGCAGAAATTCCATAAAGGTAGGGGTTATCTCCTTTACATAATGAACCACACAAAACACTATGCATGTATTTATTAAATGCTTATTACAACAGCACAAGTTCTTTGCCTTATTTTAAGTGGAAAACATAAAATACAAAAATTAGAGAAAAATTCTCCTTTCACTGCTAAGGCAGTGAAAAGCAATAGAAACTCATATGTAAGCTAAATCCTTATAATACAAATTACAGGTATAGAACCAGGCAAAGAAAGAATGACAAGCCCAATCATTAGCAGTAAACAGGTCAGATCATTCAAGAAGCACATTTCTACCACTGCTCAAAACACCTAGACAGGTTCATACATGAAACCACCATTCAATTGACAACCCTTTATTATTCAACTTAAGCAAGAGTGCAAAATCAATCAGTGTAGATGGATGAAAAACTAGGCTAAAAATAACAAAAGTACAGTTTCGTGTAGCATGTTCTTCACACAGTATGTAGAGAAACTCACCAGGAAGTAGGATTCCATCCAATGTGATATTGAGGAAAGTAACAGGTACTGCCCTAGATGAATGGCAGCTTGAGGTACGCTCACTGAGGAATGCAGTTAGCAATGTGGAGGGGGACCCCTACCTAACTCCACCATCTGATCTGCCAGCTCACTTATAGAAACTTATCATTAACACTTCAGTGAAATATTAGTTCTTTCTCTCATAAGCAATAAAAATCACAAAATCAGCTGAGGTTTGAAATTTAGAGTAAGTTAGTTCAATTTCCCGCTTTTAATGTGTAGTGTAGATATTTTAGGTTTGACAATTGTCCACATCCAGTCAGACAGACTTATAAGAAGAATTTCAAATATCAAATACAGAAGCTGTTAATTCATGCATTTTATGACTGGTTAATTCTTCAAATGATTAGACTTCAGAGCTGCTAATGACACTAAATTCAATGCCACGGTGGTTGAGTCTGTCAATCAACTTCGTTCTGGAGAAAGCTGCTCCGGGTGTGAAGACCCCACCCCTGTAAAACAACAGCAACATAAAACAGTACACAGGCCAGTCTCTAGCCCTTTTCTCTGCTAGTGTGACTGGCTACAGGACTAGCTATGGAGTCACTTCAGAACGCAGGAAAACCTGACTCTTGATTCTATCATGGATTATTTTTGGTTCCATTCCTAAATTCAGCCAAATGAGCAAGCAGCTACTGTTCAGGAGGAAACCAGTGCCATAGCCAAGCCCATCCAGATTGGCTCAGTTCCTAGTGAGATTGTTTTCCACCAACAGATGCGTTAGAAGGATACAGAGCACCACCAACTTAAATAACTGCTGCTATTTATGAAAAGAGTCCTCATGCTTCAGAGAATTAAATAAAGATGTGAATAAAACACATTTAGGTAATCAACTATTAGGAGCTGTGGTAGCATAGTGCCTAAGGCACTTGATTGCTAACCAGAAGGCTGGCGGTTCAAACCCACCGGCCACTCCTCAGAAGGAAGATGGGGCAATCTACTTCCATTGTGATACTGCCTCGGAAACCCAAGGAGGGGTCGCTATGAGTTGGGTCCGACTCGATGGCACACAACAACAATAACAATCAACTGTTATTAATGCATAAATAGGATTTAAACTGGATGAAAGAAGTTTCTTTAAATGTAATAGCTAACATCTGTAAAAATCCTAAATATTTTCAAAGGGTACACAAGTATTTGAAAAAAAATTAATTAGATTTCACT